AGGAATTTTACAATAATAATTTAAATTGATGGCGTTCATAAAAATAATTCGAGCTAGAATGATGCCCATAATAATAAAATGAGATGAATTCAAGCTAATGTCCATTTAATATTCTCAAGTCCCCATCGACCCCTTCTCCAAATTTTCCTTTCCCTGCTTTTTTCTCGGAGTGAGTTAAGTTATTAATGCTATATTTGAAGATGAAAAAATGATAGTTCATACTATATTGATCTTTATTGGTTGAAACAATTTAATCATTGCACTAGATTATGATTTATTTATCAACTTATGAAAATTCATATTTATAGAATTAATTATTGAATTTTATGTTAATTTACTATAGCAAAATAAGAAATTTTCAAAAAAAAAAAAATAACAAAGTAAGAAATTATGTTTTTATTAACAACCAGTTAAATATGCTAATTAATGTTTTAAGTCATGCATTCTTAAATTCTTACACGTGAAGATTTTTTGTGTAAAAATTGTTTGATTGAAATATGAGAAAAATAATAGTACGGAGTATATTTCTTAAAAGAGGAAATAACAATGTTTTTTTTGAAAGGCTAACAAAGTATAATAAAATGTTATTACTTCCATTTCCATTTCGCTTTTTGAGGGTCAACTTAAATCACACTTAAACTCTTACTTTATATATCAAAATTTTATAAAAAATGTTTTTTTGCAGGCTTTGTAGCGGGTTTGATGTAGTTTCTGAATATGTAAATTTTATTTTCTAAAAATAATTCGAGTTTTCACAGGGATCATTTAACTTTATCGCTGGTCAAACTTCGTAACACGTAATTGGAAGTTTAATATGGGACGGAGGTAGTATATATTCTACTTGAATTTTTGTACTTTAAATCTTTTAGGATACAATTGCCCATCTCACAATAATTAAAATAAATGACAAAAAGTCAAAACCTCAATATCCATTATCCAAATTATTCTTGACATAAATTTTTGACTAAAAGTGGTATTAACTCAATGTGAACGGAAAAGTGTTGTGTTTAAAAAAGAAACGATAAATATAAATACAACACACCCAATCCTTAATAAAAAAAGTTTTAAGATCGACTACATGTGAATCGATATTAGAGTGAAAAGAAAATAAAGAAGAATAAAAAATAAAGTAAGAAAATTCGGATAAAATAAATATAAATATAAAATAACAATAACACAAGATATTAACAAGATATACGTAGTAACATAAAAAGATAAAAGAGTAAGAAACAATAAAAGATTAAAATAATAGGAATATAGAAGAATAAAAAGATAAACTGTAAAAGAAAATGAAGAACGAAAAGATAGAAAAAGATCAATCGTTCAAACGAATGTGCGTCCTACCCAAGAAGATGCGCATCAGTTTTGAACCCTCTTATCCAAATCTGTTTAGGTCTTTTTCTCACTTTACTATCCCCTCTTCCTCCCACCTTTCAAGTCTTCTAACATGTGTATTACTCGGTCTTCTACACACATGACCAAATAACTACAATCGAGACTCTTGCATGTTATCGCCTATGGGTGCTACCCTCATATTTTGTTTGATTATGCCAATTCTCAAATGGTTTTTTCTGATATGTTCACACATCTAGGACAACATTCCCATTTATTTCACACTCATCTTTTGAATGTGACATTAATCCGCCGTCGAACACTTTACGCCATACATTAATGCAAGCTAAATTGTTGTTCGATACAATTTACCCTTCAGTGTAACTGACATACGTATCAATATGATACACTCTTTCATTTCATCAACGATGAGTATAAGGATGTTTTCTTTTAGACGGTTTTCAGTCCCAGACCAGACCAGACTTAAACAGACCAGACCAGACCAGACTTCCATAGTTATAAAATACACAGAGACCAGACGTTTACCAGACCAGACCAGATCAATTTAGACAAGACCAGACTTAAACAGATTTAAACAGACCAGACCAGACCAGCAAATTTTAGTCCAAAAGAAAACATCCTAAATCATAAAATATTTTTCTAAACGAATTTAATTAATTTTAAAAGAGATGTTTTAAAGGATCAAATTAAAAAAGTTCCATTTAAAAAAATCCGAAAAGCTCAAACAAAATTGGGCTTTGGATTAACATCTAACAACAATATAATAGTGAATGAGGGTTGGTACCCTTAATTTATGTCAATACACCTCTAGCATAAGTTGTTGTACATTGCTATTAGAAAGTGGAACCTTACTTTTCATTTGACTTATTTACCCTTACATGCCGTCTGAATTTTAACACTCCGTTAGTTTCGTGACTTCATCTCCAATGACACTTCCAGATTTCAGTTCTCTACTTCTCTTTGATTTTCTCTTATTTCTACCCGAATTCCTCTCAGCAAGTTCACAACCTTACTGCTCCTCCCCATTATAATCTCCCGGCATCTAAAAACAAGTTCTGAAGTCCTCCTTTGTAAGAAAACGTTAGTTCCAATGCTAGCGTATTAAGGGTTTGTTTGCAACCCATTAAAAAAAGTACTTTTAACTTTTTTTTAAGAAAAAAACACTTATTTTACCAAACACTACCAACTTTTACTTTCTCGGCTTTCGTGTAGAATCTACTTTTTACTTTTTCTATTACACAAAAAGCACTTATTTTACCAAACACTACCAACTTTTACTACTAATCACTTTTTTCCCAAAAGTGCTTTTATTTAAGCAGAAGTGGTTGCAAACAAAGCCTAAATATTCTGGGCTATGTTGGGAGGTTGGGATTTGTTTTTTTTTTTTTTTTTTTTGAAAACGGGAGGTTGGGATTTGTTAAATAGTTAAAAAAAAATATAGTTAAAATTGTTGGTTCTAACCTTTATATGGAGTATGAGTTATATTAAGGGTTTTTTATAAGAATATTACTAAAATAAAACTTATTTACATAACTATGACTATTCATTACTACAACATAGTGTTGTAGTAACTTAAATTCAAAACATGAACATGAATTACTATGATTTCAAACCTTCTAATAAGTTTGCAATACACAATTAACATGGCTCTAGCCTATAGTTTGGTCAAAATAGCCTATAATTTCCTTTATTGTGACCCTTGTTAATGTTGAAAATCAATATATATATATATATATATATATATATATAAAAGAGGAACTTTTTAAGAGCATACGGCGCGCCACATAATCCTGCCATGTCATCCTATATTACAATTATTTAATTACTATTTATACATTTTATTGTTTTTATTACATTCTACTTTTATTGCATATTGATATGGAAACAAAAGATCGTATGATAGAATTCACCTTATTTGGTAACTTTTTCAGAATCTACTACTTACTCCGTAGTAATATGGATTGTTATTAAAATAAGCAATTATTGCAACCACAACAATAAATAGTCATCCGTGCACATAGACTTTATTTAATTTAATTATTTTTATACTTTTATTTTTATTACATTCTATTGAGAAGTGAATTATCCGTGTTTTGCGCACCTAACAAATAAATCATCCAAGTTCCTATCAATTTTGTTCTTCAAAGTTATTTTATAAATAAAGTAACAATAGTGTTCCATTTCCTAAAAAGTACGGAGTAATATTTTATTTTTCTAAACTCAATTTTTTGAATGTTTTCTAAACTCAATGTGATAATGACTAAAGTTATCAGACTTATATTTGCAATTGTGTTAATACTTCGTATTTTTCTGCATCATCATATCATTCTTTCTTACTTGTTGAGATAATGATGAAAATTATAACCACAAGATTTTTTTAACTTAAAAATGAAATTGATATATACTATTAGACATTCATATATGAAAACATTTAAAACTTCTGATCAAGTATCTTACCTTTATGAGGATGGAAATGGAAATTCATATCATACATATGTGAATACGTTTAGCCCAGCAAAAAAAGTAAACATGTTTAGTTGTTTCTTTATTTTTACAACTACAATTTAGATTTTCCATCACTTTTGACATAGATTCCTAATCTAAATTAGGAAATCTTCATACATTTAGGGTGTTGTTAATTGGACTGGTTTCAGTCTTAGACAAGATCGGATCAAATATCAATAATAATAATAATAATAATAATAATAATAATTATTATTATTATTATTATTATTATTATTATTATTATTATTATTATTATTATTATTATTATTATACATAAAATAGACATCTTCCAAACCAAGTTAGAAATGAATCTAATTTAAAATATCCTTATTAATGACATTTTCAATGTGACGAAATAAATGAGTAAATTGTAAAAATGATCCCTTTTTTACATTTCAATGTGACAAAATAATGAGTACAATGTAAGAGCTCACTAATAAATTTACAAATACTTATTTCATACCACATGTTGAATGATAAATATTTAAAAATTGTTTTTTAGATGCTTAATGAAGTAATATAGAGGATGTGAAATTAATTAAGAAACTTTTGTATGAATTGTTTAAAATCGGGTTCATAACCATTATGTTTAGTTGAGATGCTTATGTAGAAGTCCAATTTAAATATTTTTCATATAAATTTGAATTACTTTTATTAATTATATATGATTTCGAAAATATCAAATATACAGTTAGCTAAATTATGTACTACCCGTGCATCACACGGGCTTGAAAGCTAGTGTGTAATAAACTAAAATGATATTCCTATTGTGAATCCTTGAGGTATGATTAAAAAGTATGTAGTATTATATTTCATCAATTTCTTGCTTAAGCTATTTTTTATAATGGTACAAAAATGTTCTAGAGATGCCTAGTTGTTATTGATGGTACTCATATATAAAATGATAAGTATATGCAATTCATAGAATCAAATAGTTTTATAAAGTACAATAGGCACATATTTGAACACTAATTGATAGGATCAAAATTAATAAATTTGTCGATTTTCAAGAAATATAAGAAACTTTTATACACTATTTAAGAAAACTCATAGCAATATCATATATAATAATTGTTTACAAAAAAGGAACATTACTTTAATATTGGGCAAAACCTCTCGCGCCTTGCGCGACGGAACGCTAGTAATGACAAATAAACAGATAATCTTACAGAATCATTATGAAACCCGATTGACTGTTCCTAGTAAAAACAGTAGAATCATCGTTGCCAACTGTCTGTTTGGTACGCCCTGGTGCTCTCTCTCTCTAGAAAAAGTTGTGGCCTTTCCCTGAGACCGTACAGATCGGCTCATCTCGAACCCGAATCAATACCCTTCAAGATGCCTTCCCGAAGAAGAACGCTTTTGAAGGTTATCATCCTCGGCGACAGCGGGTTAGTACGTCACCCCTTGTTTATCTATGGAATTTTCAAGTTCATAATATTTCCTCTCAAAAAAGCACATCATAAGGCATCCTAAACATGCAATTGGTGAGCTTATTGGATGTAAACTCTTCTTTAATTATATGTTTCTGATTAAAGGAATCATGATTTAGAATGATATATATTTGAGTATGCTTTGTATATATTGTTCCTTTATTCTCATAGAGTTGTTCTTCTTCGTGTATGATTTGCAGGGTCGGCAAGACCTCGTTGATGAATCAGTATCCTCATGTCTTGCTAATTTCTTGTTTTTTCCGATAATAAATGGGACTTAGTACAACAGTTCGTTACTCTTTTCCCCTCAATCCCATTTTTTTGGATCACTTGTGCTTGTTGTGTGCCTTTAATGAAGATAATAGATATGTAAATAAGAAGTTCAGCAATCAGTATAAGGCCACCATTGGAGCTGATTTCTTGACCAAGGAAGTGCAGTTTGAAGACAGGCTATTCACTTTACAGGTTAGTGAGATACTGAGATGGCGTTTGGATGTTTAGTCGCTCAACTCAGTTATATACAATGTTGATTTTTGATGTTGAAGTTATCCTTCAGGTTACAATGTTGATTTGTTTTATCCTTTTTGAAAAATTAAATCTGGGATGTGGTGAAAATCCTAACCCATTGTTTTTGGTTTGTCTCTTATGTACTATGGTTCTGTTTGATAATTTTGAATGCTGTAATTTAACTTGAAATAACCGTCATGATGAGATTTTCTTTGAAATCCAGTAGAAGGTCCTAACAAATCTTTTATGTTATCCATCAGGTTGGATTTGTTTTATCTTTGTTGAAAGATTCAATCTGATACTTGGTGTAAATCTCAGCTCCTTGCTTTTGTTTTAGCTCTAATATCAGTTATATGCAGTAACTCTGTTTTGACAGTTCGAACTCAGTCACCTAATTTGAATAACCCTCATAATGGGATTCTCATTGAAAGGCAGTAGGTTTAAAGACACCATTTTTTAATGTCATCTAGATTATGTATTATAAACTTGAGAATTTGAAATTTAAAACTTTTAAATCAAATAACCCGTGAACTTGCAATTTTACTAGTTTAACATGTGCTTGTTTTCAAGTATGAAGTCTATTACTGCATCATGAAATTGAGTTTTTCTTGTACCTTCCTAGATATGGGATACAGCTGGTCAGGAGAGATTTCAGAGTCTGGGGGTTGCCTTTTACCGAGGTGCAGATTGCTGTGTCCTTGTCTATGATGTAAATGTGATGAAGTCCTTTGAAAACCTAAACAATTGGAGGGAGGAGTTCCTTATTCAGGTAACAGTCATTGATTCTTTAATTATGTGTGCACCATTTACTCGTTGGCCTCAGGTCTATATTTTCTGACAATTTTGATTACCACATGATCCTTTTTTTGACGAGTAGCTTTTAGTTTGGGCTGAAAGAGAAAAGTAATTGGAACTTTTGTATAAATACAGGCAAGTCCTTCTGATCCAGAAAATTTTCCATTTGTCGTGATTGGCAACAAAGTTGATGTTGATGGGGGCAACTCTCGAGTGGTGAACTTTCTAACTGATCCCATACTAATTGTTCATACAGTTTTGCAATATTTTAGATGATTTCATTGCTTTCACCTTCAACTTGATGCTCAGGTATCTGAGAAGAAGGCAAAGGCTTGGTGTGCCACTAAAGGGAACATCCCGTACTTTGAGACTTCTGCAAAGGATGGCATCAATGTGGAAGCAGCTTTTCAATGCATTGCACAGAATGCCCTAAAAACTGGGGAAGAGGAAGAAATGTAAGTGTAACTCATACTCATATAATACTTTTGCTGACTTGCCGAGTGGCTATCGCGTTTACCTTTGACGTAATGGGATTAACTGGGACAAGGGTTTAATTGTTCAGCCATTAAACTGTGTTTGCTTACAACTCAATTGAAAATATTACTCCGTACTTTTATGCTCAACCAAAACCCGACTTTATTTTGAGCCCATATATATTATTACCTCTTATTCAACCCTCAATTTATTCATTTTTAGAGGAATCCATGATTGCATGAACACATATTAATAAATGAGAGTACTCATTGATAAGAAAGCAAAAAAAGAAAACACCTTGAGTTGTTTCATCTAATTCAGTTTTTTTGGAATATTCTTCTAAATCTATTATAGTATTTTTACTTAAAGTAAACAACCCGTTACACAAAGACAAACTTATTGATACAAACAAATATCTTAATCCAACTAGGGCTTAACAGGGAGAACTATAAACAGCCCCTATGTCTATAACCAAATCCATCTTTGCAATATAGTGTAACTTGGAATATGGTGGCTTTTTAATTGTCTTGGTGCACATAACTTGGAATATGGATGTTTTTTAATTGACTTGGTGCTATTCTAGATGTTTTTAATTTCCTATTTCTTTAAATCTTTATTAAAAGATCACATCAGAATGCCCAATAAATTGCTTTGCTTTCTGTTATGTCCACAAGAGCTATTTGATTATTGTATATTCACTATATTGAACTAGAAACAACTTCTGGTGCTCTCTACCAGTATGAATATTCCAAGTCTTAGAGTCCATTTGTGACACTAAAATTGGCTAAATCAGCTGAATCTATTGAGATTTCTGAAATTATGTCTGAAATGTGCGCTGAATTATGAACGAGTTATATTTGAAATATATTTTATTTATAAAATAATGAAAAGTTATATGAAAAAAGTTTGAATAGGCATGTCTAGCTGAATCTAGTAACTCCAACATTACTTCTTATGATTAGTGTTTATGATTATTGCACAATTTATCAAGTGAAATCAAAAGTTCAGTGTTTGGTAAAAATGGGTTACCACAGGCTCTTAATTTTGTAATCAATTGATACCGTTGTAATTAAATTAACTGTTCTGATAATTTGGGATATTTTTTGTGGTGAAGATACTTGCCGGACACCATAGATGTTGGCGGGAGCAGCAACCAGCAGAGGCCATCTGGATGTGAGTGCTAAGTAATTTGTTCATTGTTTTGGGTAAACCGAGATCTCCCCGTAGCACTAAGAAAAGTGTGGACAACTTGTGCCCCTGTGATTTTATTCTTTTTTTGTTGGTGTCCCTATTTTAATTTTTTCTTTATGAGTTATTTTGTTTGTGAATTAAGCTTCCTTTGTACATTTTTCTGTATTGAGCCCCCGTGGTTGTTGAACGTAGTTGTTAATGGAGTGTGGTACTCAAGTCATAATAACATGTTGATTCCCAGGTTCTGGAATATGTATTGTTTAGAAAACTAGAGTTCCAATAAAAAATGTATGTGTCGACGATAGAAAGAACAAACTACCCGAGTACCGACTCATCAGAAATAGTGGTGAAGACAGGGAGAGGCGGAATACGCCTTGGTCTCCAAGAAAAAAAATCTAATGTACATATATATTTGTAAATATTTATGATCTACATAACACTATAACATTTGTTAGAGTTTTAAGCTCTGGCTCTAATAATATAAGTAAATATTTAATACCTGTTTCCTAATTGAACATTTTTGGCTCCACCACTTCTTAGAAACTAAAAGTAAATAACCAAAGATTAGCCTGAAGATGAACTTACACTGTTTAGACTGTTAGACATCCAACTAATGAATCTTGTATTCTATAATGTTACTTTCATTTTGTAACAGAAGTAGTAATGTAATTAATACATAGTATATACGAAGTATAGAACAACAACAATAACTTTATTTGCGATTGGTTCTAAAATTATAGTGCCCTTTATCCATCGTTCCTTTTTAATAAAGTTACTGTTTTTTGTTCAGAATAGATCTCAACCATCATTCAATCTTCATTCCCAATCAAAACATGACAGATTACTATGATTGAAATTTATTTATTTATTCTCTATTTTACCTTTTAACTTTTATTCATTTCATTAAATTAAAACTTTGCAACGATGACCTCCCAATCTCCCATACGTTTCCAAAAGAAATGCATCTAATTCAACTTTACTCTAATGATTATGAAAGGAAGGACATGAATAAAAAAAAAATCAATGAACGTAACTCACAGTTTCACCACACTACCACAGGCCGGGAACACAACAAATTCAATATTCAGGTAAAAATAAGCAATAATCCTGTAGAGATCGAGGTCCCAGAGAATAGCAATGATAGGGGAACTACTTCATATTCTTTTTATTTCTGCGTGAAGTGAACAATAAAATAGCTCCAGCTAGAATGAGATATTGAGATCATTTGATCATTCACTCTTTTATACGAAGTATATCTCTTTTTACAATCAATCTCGATCACATAGCTAGAATGTATATATATGTGGTGTGACTTGATTCAATTCTATACGTTGATACTAGTGAGAGTGAAACAAGCTGCAGCACTCTTGAGTTCGTTCTCGGACACCGATTGGGCTATATCTTTCAAAGATGATTCCGAACTGCACAATAGATATCGAGTTATAGACATCTATAAGTACATGTTGTCTTCATAAATTTCCTAAAATAAGATATAAAAAAACAAGACGTTTTACGGTACTTTTACCTAAGTAAGAGTATTGTATTCCCCTGAAATGGGGTACTCCCTCATGACATCAAGGAGTTGAGGCATTACTACACAGCACTATAACCCCAATATGACACTATTTTTCTATAGTTTATATACAAAGTATATGGCATGGAATGTGAGGATGTTGATCTTTACAAAATTTAATTTCTCTAAAATGGAATTGATCGATCCGTCGGTCGTAAAACATTTGCAACATATACCACTCATTCATTAAAGATTTCGTCGATTCATCAAAATTCCCAATAAATTTTTAGTTTCATTTTGTCATTAACACTCCAAATGATGATCTTCACGGATTGCACTTTGCAACCAGCGGAAATTTCTAACAGGAAAAGGCTTTAGGATGTCACGTAATTCGTAACATACAAACGCATTAAGTAATTGCAACTTTTCAAGGATCACCTTCCCCAATGACCGGGCGATAATTCAATGGCCATCAAATTTTAAGAGACTTGGCCATTTTGACTTTTCTTGATCAATGCTGTTAAAGTTTAGACAATGATTTTAGATATTATATTTATGTGTAATTTATAAATTTTATACTTTTATGAAAGATTTTATAATAAAGAACATACTAATATAATTTTTATATTTTAAATAATTTCGTATTAAAAGATATCGTTGGTCAAACTCCGTCACCATTGACCAAGAAAATTCAAATTGGCAAATCTGTTTTGGGACGGAGGGAGTAAGATATATTACTAGTACTTTTGTACAAATGTCACATTTTTGTTCTTCATCTTTATTTCCATCATATATAAATCATTACAGTATTTTAAATTTATTAATATGCTCTTTCTCCCATATTCAATCACTTTTCTGTTATCAATTCAAGGTAATGTTTTCTCATCATTATTTACAATCATACACTTCCACAATGTTATACATAGTACTAGTGTTTGGTACTTTGGTGCATTAAAGTCACTATTTAGCTCATTTTCTCATGTCAATTTTATGTATATGCATACATAAAATTGATTTCAGAGTGTACTAAATACGTACCTTGATTCAAATGGTTCTTTGGAGTCAACAAATGATTGTCTATCATCAATAGTATCAAAAAATGGATGCATCATCTCATCATAATCATCTTCATCCACCTGCACTTGTAATGTGATGGGCTGCTGTTGTGCAGCCCCACATCCCAGCCCCATTTCAGGTTCTTGAATCATCATCTGGTTATTGTTATTATTATAGGAGCTATATTGTAGATGATGTCCATTTATGCCATTCCCATAATTCTGCTCTTGGATCCAAGAGTTTTCGTTCGAATAATCGGCGTAACCGCCTGTTAGGGAGTAAGAGGATGCATGAGAAACAGGAATAGCCGCTCCCGCAGTGACCGCATTGCAGTACTGAGGATGAAGAGGAGGAGGAGGAGGAGGAGGAACGACAACGTTGTTGTTCACGTGTGTCGATGGCGCTCCTAATTGTAAGGAGGGCAGGAGAGAATTATTAGAATCATGTTGTTGTTGGTTTTGCTGTTGGTAGAAAGCCAATTGGGAGTGGACCGCCATGAGCTCTTCCTCGGCCAGCTGGATCTTGAACATCAGCTGTTGAATCTCCGCCACGCATCCGTACACCGGATACTTCGCCCGCGCATTGGCTTCTTCTATTATAGACTTCATCGCCACGCCTCTCTGGCTAGGCTCTATCTGTTTTAGTAGTTTGGTTATGTTGCTTACCCCAAACAAGCGGTGCGCGTTGTGGAACATGTCGGGTTGGTCCGCTGGGAAGTATGGTGCCAACGGGCAGTCTGAAGTGCACCGTCTCCTTTGGTACTTGCACGACGCGCATGCCTGGCTCGTCCCTCCCTTCCGTGTCATCCCCGACCGCTCGTCCGCTATCACCACCACAAGATTCAGTACATTGCATATGCCTCCTTGATCTCAATCTTTATACAGGAGAACTTTTTCTTTGTTTTTTTGCTTTAATGTGGTTTTGTTTTTTGTTTTGTTTTGGCTTTGGGATTGATGAGAGATTAGGAGGAATGAAATGCTTCACAGGGAGTGATTAAGGTGATGAAGAGAAGATGTGGAGAGTATGTTGTTTGTTGTGTGTGTGCTCCATTTGTACAAAGTCTGTTATTTTTTACTGTTTGATAATATTGAGTGAGTGTGTAAATATGGTGAGAAAAGACTGAGTAAAAAGGAGGTGAGCTATAATTGTGGCGATGGATTAGTTTTAAGTGCATGACTGTTACGTAGGAGACGTACGTACGTTAATCTCTTGCCTGTTTATTTAATTTGTTTGTGAATTATTATGCTTTTTAGTTTTTAAAATCTTACTCACTTTCCAATATGTTGCATTGATACACAAATATGGTACAGTCACAACAATAATAAAACTAGCTTAATTAGCAAAAAAACATTAACAAAATGAATAAATTCAAATGTTCATAATAATTAATTAGAAAAACAATAGTACCAAACCTTCATAATCATGATCATTTTTAAATTTTGACTTGATAAAAAACTTTAGTACGTACTCATATTTGAAACTCAAGGTTAAATACCATTAGATCGCCTCCATATTTATGTTTTTCACGTGTAGCATTTTTCAATTAATAAGTGAGTATCCACAACACATCAGATAAAATCACATAAGTCAGTATCGGGAACATATCAGATATGCGCGATACGATGCCTTGACAATTAAATGCTTTTAATTGAACTAGAATTTGTGCTCTTGTCTAGCATATGTAGTTTGACAGAAAAGATCATCAGGTCCCTCCGGAGGGACGGGAGGGACCGTCCGAACTTTACTGTTTGGGGCGGTTCCCGGTGGAATTTTTTGATGAAATTTTTTGAGCATGTTCCTCATCAAGTCTAGTTTGTCCATACCAAATTTCAGCTCAAAATTCGACCCGGAAGGCAGTCAAATAAATTCTTGAAGCTTACTGCACATTCTGCGCATATATAAAGTGCAGTAAGTTTCAAGAATTTATTTGACTGCCTTCCCGGTCGAATTTTGAGCTGAAATTTGGTATGGACAAACTAGACTTGATGAGGAACATGCTCAAAAAATTCCACCGGGAACCGCCCCAAACAGTAAAGTTCGGACGGTCCTTCCCGTCCATCCGGATGGACCTGAGCAGTCCTCTGTAGTTTGATATGGTCCAATTTATTTAAGTCGAATCTTGTTTGGACGGGTGGTCATATATCATACGAAGTATATGTTTCATGTTTCATGTGTTTTTTTTATAAATGTTAAAATCTGATTTAATGTGAAATAGAAATCAATTCAATTAAAAACACGAAAAGTAAATGTGCATCGTTCTGTTTCATTTAGGTGCATTTAGTTTTTGTTTTTTTTGTAGAGTGAGTTCAATATTTTTGCACTAACATATTTTATTGTGGTGATATTCTTGAGCTGGCTTTTCTCATCAAACTATAAAAAATGTTTTGTATTTTAGATATTTTCTTTCATACTTTAGATCATTTTTCTGATTTTATCCACAACGCCACAATTTAGTTTGTTAAACTAACTCCCTATATTATTTACACGCGTGTTTCACTACTTTCACACCCAATTCTAGTTCTAGCTTTCACGGTCGCAATTAATTTTGAATCATTTCTCTAATCCGTTAGATTTAATGCATAAAAACTCCCTCAATAAAAGTTCCTCAATTTTACAATATCACCTCTCCAATATGTTTACCAATGCTCCACGTACTTCTTCAAATCTTTACTCTAATATGGACATGCATATGGTTGATTGTATAATTGATCAACCCCTTTTACCTTTATTA